TTTGGCCCTAGTTATATGTACCTCAAAAGAGATTTGTTTTTTCATATCACAAGTTGAGCATAATGGTTATGAATCCTACCGTTCATTTTGTCATATTTTAATACATTCATGTAAAAGTTTTAATAATTGCAAAATTTGTATCTTGTCAGAGGTCCTTGAGGGGCATATTGGTTTTTGCATTTATACAGTGTATAATCTCCTCAAGGTCATAGTGACTTTGAAAACTTTAAAATACTGGCTCAATGATCTGGGTAACCTAAGACTTGCATTAGGAAATGCTTTATAATGTAACTAATTCTGTCTTCGACAATCTTTGCTTTTCCCTTTTCTTTTTCTTCTTTTTCAAATGTGTGCGTTGTGTTGCAGCATGTTTAGTCTGTTGGTTCTACAACTTTCAACTATAGACATGTGTATGTTACATTCCTGATGTTTCATTGAAGAAATATTATCTTTAATATTATATATTCTTTTTTTCTTGGTGATGATTTATGCCACACCAAGCCTACTGTAAAATTTATGCCATTGCTTGCCAACTCAAAATGGTGTACATGTTAAATTTACTTAACTTTTTTTTTTTTGTTGCAAAATGTAGGAAATACTCCAAAGTTAGGAAGTGGACTCTTGGTTTAGCAGCTGGTAGAGATCAAATAGCTGTGATCAGAGCTTCTGGTAGCATTAGCCGTGTCCGGAGTCCATTAAATGCGCCAAGTTCTGGTATCATTGCAGAGCAAATCATTGAGAAGATTCGTAGTGTCAGAGGTATCACCTGATTTTCCTTTCATGCAATGATGTGTAGATGAAATAAAATCTAGCTCTAAATTTTACATTTCACAGGACCAAATCCTATATCTAAGCAACTTTATAGTGACATACAAGTTAACTGCAATTCATAGAATTGATGTTTGAAGCAGTCCAAAGTTGTCTGATTACATGATGGCATGGGTTCTGCCAGTAGCTAAATGCATTATGATAGAAACCTGGATCTTAACAACCTTAACTGTTCAAATGGAAGTATTTACTTATTTTGAATCTCAGTTGCATATGCACTGGTTCCACCTTCAAAGAGGGAATAAAACAATAAAGCATATTGAATGCTTTTTCATCCTGAGTTTACAAGGCTTAAAGTTTGACAAATACAGAAAAAGGTAAAATATGATTGTCTTATTTGTGAAGTATGTTCCTTCAAAAGGGTAATTTGGTAGTCAGCTTGAAATGTTACCAGGTAGCTTCATAACACAACTGCCCATGTAGAAGAAAGAACTCAAAGAGCAGAAAATGTGACATATAAAATAACCAGGACCAGAATTGCAAAATATTGGAGAACTGGGATTTGGTCGAGAGAGAATCAGGATTTAAGAGAGAGGGAGAGGGAGAACAAATGTTCAGTCAAATAATATCAACCTTCTGCAGTGACTGAAAGAAAATAGCCCAAAACACAAAAGTCCTTAAGATTTAAATATTTGTCATTAGCATGAATGGTGTTTTGCTGCATTTATTTGTCAGTTCATTTTTGAATGATAAAGACTATTAAATCATATTCACTATTACTGTATGCTTTTACAATAGATGCATAAATGGACATTAATGTTTGTTTGATGAATTGAACAAAAAAAAGAGGGAGTAAAATCATGGCTTTTCCAACGCTCACTAGTGTTTATGTACTACAAAGCAGATAGCTTTTAAAATCCTTCTTTGGTGGATATTATTAGTTATATCCAAAGAACATGTGTGCATTTACATGTACAAAGTTGCTATAATTAATTTCTGCATGGGTGCTGGCTTATTTATGTCAGTTACTACTAATCCCCATTCCCCCCACCCTTAGTGATTTTTTTTTTTTTACAATTAAATTTACATTTACTGCAGAGTCGAAAAGATACAAGGCTGCTATCATCCGAATTGACAGCCCTGGAGGTGATGCTCTTGCTTCAGATTTGTAAGTGCAGCTATATTTTGACATTTTCTAGTAAGTGTCATTTTAAGGATCTAATTATTGTCAGACAACTAAGAATGTATAAGCTTTTGTTATCTGTGCAATACTGCAATGTCTTGTTTTCCTCCTACATTTTGTGGTACATGGAACTTTGTGGAGTTAGTAGTGGATCAGTTTTGGGTTTTGGCATGGTAAATAAGCTTGCATTTGTCAAAGTTTACCATGTGTATTTTCTGGTGGTGTGGCTGGAGAAGTGGTTAGTCTGATAACCTCCCCTGCCCATCATACTACTAGTGTAATCTTATCGGTGTAACTATATTTCATGAGTTTCTAATAAACATAGGTATTTTATTCTAAAATTAGATAAATCACACGTGAATATTTTAAGTTGAAGCATGTGCCCTCAGGTAGGGAAGGAACAGTTATTTGGGTCTGTGTTGCCTGTAGCCCAGTTGCAATGTTCCATGTTCAAGATTAGCAAGGTTCGCAATGGGTCATGAGTTTTCCTGAGTAAGTGGTAAACTTTGGAACCTGTAAATCAGTCAAGAGAGTTTTTGCTTTTGAATTTATCAGATCTTTGCTGATGATAGCCTTGCTGATATATCCATCTGACTAGTCTTCAGTCCTTCGACATATACCTTACCTGTTGCTAACAGTGGCCTCAAACAATTTGCAAACCATAAAGAGAGTTAGTTTCTACCTTTGATCTTGTAGTGCCTGACAGCCATGAGTAAGCAAGCTAATACATTAATCTCTATCAAATGTGTAGGCTAAATGGTACGAGTTCCATCAATTTGACGCGGTAAACTTTGTAGGCAAAAAGAGTGGGAGAATGATGTAGGAAGCTAACTAAAAAGTTGGAGTGCTTTTAATTAGGGTAAAGAAGAGAGGATTAGTTGCATAGTCGTCTTAGAGTTGGAGGATATGGCAAGTCATTCTGCCTACATGCTGCAGTGGACAGCTCTTTCTTCTTTCCACGCCGAATCAGTTGTGGATGTTCTGAAGCTGAAAATTCATCTTTATTTTTCTTTTAAATGTCCAAAATGTAAAAGAGATGATATTTGACTGTTAGAGGTTGGGTGTGTCTAGGTTTCTCTACCTCAGGAGGTAGGTGAGCTTCAGTGCTGGATTTGTTACAGTAATGTTCACTGCTGCTTGCTTGCTGTGTGCATTGGTTCCAGTGTGGCTTTGTTAACTTCATTCACCTTTACTCTTTTTTCAGCATTTTTATGCATTGCATTTCTTCAATGTCTGAGGTCCAATCGAATGTTTTAATTTTAAACAGTTTAGGAAGGGAATATCAGATGCATAAGTATACATGATGATTTCAAAATCACAGGATTTATACTTGAATGGCCATGCTTTGCTGCTGTATCTATACCATGTTGCTTCTGATGGCTGCATTGGCTTTTATTGCTCACTGGCTATTTAGATGCTTTCATCTAATTCAAATCTCTAAGTCAGCTGAAGATGAGAAGTTCCATACCAACTACCTGTGTTTTATTGCTCACTGGTTATTTAGATGCTTTCATCTAATTCAAATCTTTAAGTCAGCTGAAGATGAGATGTTCCATACCTAGTATATCTATGACAATGCAGCTTGGTCTTATTTTCAATTTCTCTTTACAGAGCACTAATGTTTATGATCATCATGTGGTCCTCCAAGCCACTGTTTTTTCATTTTTTAAAAAAAAAAATTGGCAGTGAAACTATGTTTTTGAGGCAAATGATTGGCTTCTGATATATAGAATACTATATATGTTAACCTTGGATGAATATCTGGGACCAAAAAAGAGAAGTAAATGAATCTATGTGAAAGATTGACAGATGAGGAACATAGGTTACTGATGTTCTCAGATCTAAATAGTGCAAGAAAGTGTACCAAAAAGGAATAATCCAGAATGCATCCTGCTTATTTTTGCATATTATAATAAGAGAATGACATAAACAAAATAAAACATATCCCTATAAAACGTGTAGAACTTTGAGAATTTGGCCATAAGTACTTTTCTTCTGACATGTCATTCTTTTTTTTTTTTTTTTTTTTTGATTTCATTCTGAATCATGTCAAATTTGGAACGTTGGTATCGTATGCTAACAATCAGCATTTGTATTGCTTTTTGAAATAAAAAAATGGATTATGAAAAAGAAAATCTATTATGGTCCTTTGGCTAACTATTGTTGATGTTTTATCATATCCAGAATGTGGAGGGAAATCAGACTTTTGGCTGAATCAAAACCTGTCATAGCATCCATGTCTGATGTGGCAGCTAGTGGGGGATATTATATGGCTATGGCAGCTGGGACTATCGTGGCTGAAAATTTGACTTTAACTGGTTCAATTGGAGTTGTCACAGGTGAACTAACTCTCTGAAATTTGATAAGCATGGAGTTTCTATGGCTGTAAAATAAAGAGATTGAAGTTGCTTGGGAGTCAGAAAACTGCCTATAAGTAAGCTATATGTGAAAGGGTGTTTTTTTTTGTTAATTTGTATATTCATTCTTTTTCTCTCAAGACATGAGTAATAAATCTAAAAAGAATATTAAATATTTGGCCAGAGGGAATTAAATAGAAATATCTAAAAGATACAGATCGGTTGGGTCCTCACAATCAGAAACTTGTTATAAGTTTTGCAACTTCTCTAAAAACCTTGAAAATCAAATATTTTTCCATTGAGTTTGTCCCCAAAACCAAAATATCCAAGCCTTATACCAGATTGCCGGTTGCAGATATCTGAGACATGAAATAATCGAATGTCTCATTTTGTACATGGTTACTACTTTGTAATATTTTTATAATTTTTTATTTTAATTGAATGTCCTTGTTGAATTACAGTTCAATTGTGATGCTAATATAATGCTTGTTCAATGAGAAAACCTGCAAACTAATTGCTTGAATTCATTCCTTATCTCTAGTTTATTATGACTAGACTAGTGAGTAACCTTCAAGATTCTGGTTTCAGAAATATTTTTATGGAAAGGTACTGTCACAGATCTCTGACTAGAAATAATCAAAGCAGTTTGTTGATGAATAATTCAATATGGTTTTTCTCACCGTTCACCACACGAAAATACTCTCATACAGGACTCAATTCCTTTTCGTACTGCTATCTTCATTAGGCTGTTCCAATAAACAAAATAAAAAAAAGATAATAGTAAAATGCTTTTGTAGATCTTAATCGGTCTTTTCCTCGTTTTTATGAAGAGATTGCTTTTGTGGCTGAAAACCAAAGATGTTGACTTCCTACATAAGCCTTTTGGATTTTTGCAAGTTATAAAATCAATTTTGATTTTGTTTTTCCCTTCCGCTTGCTTGCAGGGAAGTTTAATTTGGGGAAATTATACGAAAAGATTGGCTTCAATAAGGAGGTCATATCAAGGGGAAGATATGCTGAACTTTTTGCAGCAGAGCAGCGGCCTTTAAGGTTAATGTTTTTGTTAGATAGTTTGATTATGTCGAAAGCAAAAAGATATCCGTATTAGAGTATGATCTGATATTTGAGTTAAAAGCCAAGTTCTGCCCCTTGCCTGTTAATTATTCGTTGTCCTATTACTGGTCTTTTTTTTTTCTTCATTTTTTGAAAAACAGTTGTTCTTTTGTTTGGACTTTCTTTTTTAATAGACTAAAAGATAACTAATTTTAATATACCAGATCAGATGAAGCCGAGCTTTTTGCCAAGTCTGCGCAGAATGCTTATAAACAATTTCGAGACAAGGCAGCTTTCTCAAGATCAATGCCTGTATGTTTTTCCTTTTGATCTCCAGTTTTAGAAGCAATGCCAAGTTGCCTCTCTATTTTTCTTTAGAAGGGAAAAGGGGGAAAAAACCCTCTGAATATGAATTATTCAACAGGTAGAAAAGATGGAAGAGGTTGCACAAGGCAGAGTATGGGCAGGTAGAGATGCAGCTTCACGTGGTTTGGTTGATGCTATTGGGGGGCTTTCTCGGGCTATTGCCATTGCAAAACATAGGGCCAATATACCCCAGGACAGGAAGGTTAGTTCTTTACTGTTCATTTTATGACATGGAAACTTATTCCAAGGATGGAAATTACTATTGTTCAAATATCATTTTGAAAAAGCACAACTTACTCCAGATTGGTTTGGTAAACTCTGTAAATTTATGATAACTGACACGCGTAAAGATTTTCTGTTATGAGATTGGATATTATAACCCCTAGGATGGATGATATGATGAGTTAGTCTTCAGATATCATTTTGTCCTTGTAGTTTCCTTGGTTTAATCCAACAGGGATACTGCTATGTAGATGGCCAAATCAATATGAAAAGAGACCTAACGTTTCTGTCATGTAGCTGATGCGGTACTGCCCTAGAGGGACCTAGGCTTTTGCATCTTAATCTTGTAGTTTTTCAATCGTGAGATTTCTATTTGGTGGTGAACAACTCTTGTTCTCAGACTTATCAGGGGAAATCCTGTAGGATAATCTATTTTTGCAGGGCCGGTGTTGTGGAGGAATCAGTTTCTTGGCATTGTTAGTGGCCACCAGGCGTAACTTGTAAGCAACAGGGAATTAGCCACCATCCGTTAGGGCTGATACAAAATGCTATATGATAGAACTGCATCCTGCTATATAATATAGAATAGGACACATGTTCATGTTTTTCTGCATCCAAAATAAATTATGCACTCATATCATGTTAAAAACTTATGCTCTCAAGGCTTTGCAGATAACCTATTTGGGTTGAGTGTCTTTTTTGTCTTGTTCTTGTTAAGGACAGCTTTTTACATTTTTCTTCATCGAAAATAAATTATACATCATATGTCATTTTGGAAAATTATGCTTTCTCAAATATAGATGAATGTGATATAATGGAGTAGGTTACACTTGTTGAGTTGTCGAGACCTTCTCCGACACTACCAGAGATCTTAAGTGGCGTAGGGAACTCCATAGTTGGAGTAGACCGAACGCTAAAAGAAGTGCTGCAAGACTTGACGTTTTCAGATGGAGTTCAGGCCCGGATGGATGGAATCGTGTTTCAGAGATTGGAAGGATTGTCTAATGCTACCCCACTCTTCAGTTTGATAAAAGATTACCTCAGTTCACTTTGAGCTTTAAACAATTGCCTTGTCCTTGTTATTTTGGCTCCTTTCTTATAGTAATTCTCAAGAGAGTATTTTGAGTCAATAAATTTTTAGATGGATTCTTTAGACGTGGAAATTTATTTCTTCATAGTAGTTAATCCATTTTTATAAGAAAAGACAGAGACTGCTCTATTGTTCACTATTTTCGGATATTTACAGTAATGGAGCATTATATTTCTCATTTAACGTTGTAGAAAGATAAATCATAAAGTTCTCTTTTTCTCTTTGAATTGTTTGTGACCTTTCTTTCTTTTATGAATTGGCCTTAAGTTTATGCACTGACTGACTATTCCTTGTGAATGTTAAAGTCTATAATGGTTGTTGACCTGACCGAAGTTCTTTGTTCGTTTCGTGCTTCATTCCTCATCTCCAGACTGGTCAAATCCAGCCTCCAAGGGGGAAAAGGAAAAAGAAAAATTCATATGCATAATTATTGTAAAATAAACATGTTTATTCCAATAAATAACATTTTTTCTAAAATATTACATTTAGCTAATTTAATTTATTTATTTTTAAATAGTTAAGGATTATCTAAACGTCCTCTGCCAAAAGAAATAAGGTGTTTGTTCTTTTTGATGGACAAAAACCCTATAATTATCTCTTGCATTTCAAGTGATAAAAAAAAAAAAAAACGTTCTGTGAAGTACATTTCGGGCTTAATTTTCTTTCAGCACAACGTACACGTTTAGCAGATCAATTCGGTTCTCCTTCCCGGCTCTTTCCCGGTAGTTGCTAGTTGCTAGTTGCTACTTGCTTGCCCCTGCGGCGTTGACCTGTGCGAGGAAATGATATTCTTCGTGTTTCCCCTCTCTTTCCAAACAAAATCAGTGTTTTCGATAGACTTTTCTTCTCTTTCTCGGTGTTAAAAGTGGTTTTCATATGATAACATGAATTGCTAAATTACATTACCCAACTTGACACCATTCTTGCAGCTTATTCTCCAATTTGTAAGGCCATTGACCGTCTTAGAGCAGTGATGATTGGCAGGAATTCCTGTAGCTACTTTCTAATAATACTTTTGATTCTACTTATTTCCTTATCACTTCTGATCAGTGCTGAAATCGTAGACTACCCATCATCTGCGACTTCCCGAATTCCTGGAGAAACGTTCCGTCATCTGACTTAAGTTTCTGGGAGACAGCCGGTGTGAGACCGATCCTTGTTAATGGAATGTTCGTTTGTGGCTTCCACTGTGGCTTTATGGGTGACAGTTGCCTATTTGCTGTCTCCATCTTCAAGACCAGTTCTGATGGTAACGCTAGCTTTTCTCCACAAGTGGTGTGGTCTGCTAATAGATACAATCCAGTTGGGCTTGGAGCAATATTGCAAGTTACTCGAGAAGGAAGGCTAATCTTGCAAGATGACAACGGTGCTGTGGTTTGGTCCCCAAATACAGTTGGTAAGTCTGTTTCCAGGTTAAACTTAACTGCAGAGGGAAACCTCATGCTGTTTGACAATACCAATAACATGGCTTGGCAGTCATTTGATCATCCAACGGACTCTATAGTTCTTGGTCAAAGGCTAGTGACAGGGCAGAAGTTAAAGGCAGGTGTATCGACATCCAACTCAAGTGATGCTTTGCATGCATTTGCTATAATTGATGGCAGGTTCACTGCTTATATGGATGCTGATCCTTCCCAAATCTATTATACAAGTTTAGTGGAGGAAATGAATACAGGGAAACATTATGCAGAATTCCAGAGAGGGAGGTTTGGGCGATTCAACGTGGCAGATACAGCTAATTTTATACAGTTGGGAAGTGACGGCCACTTGAAGGCATATGAGTGGAGAGAATCGCAGTGGGAGGGGGTTGATCTATTGGAAATTGGTCGATGTGATTATCCATTGGCATGTGGAAAATATGGCATTTGTTATGAACAGGGATGCGGTTGCCCTGAAACTGTAGCTCAAAGCGAAGCAACTTATTTCAGGCCAATAAATTATACAAGGCTGGATCTTGGGTGTTCTGCAATTTTACCCACTTCTTGTGATCTATCTGAACATCAGAGTCTTCTCGAGCTCCAGGGCATCTATTATGTTGCCAACCCAACGTTTGGTAATCAGACTTATGGCTTAAGGATGTTTCTTAATGAGAGTTATGTCATAACGTCTGGAAATGGGACTTATGTCGTATCGTCTAGTAATGAGAACTATGTCAAGACTATAGAAGATTGCAAGCAGGCCTGTTTAAAGAACTGTTCTTGCAAAGCTGCTATTTTTAGCGCTGTTTCTCTGAACTGCTATTTGCAATCTGAAGTCTTCTCCTTCAAAATGATGGCTTCTAATGTTCATCCACCTTTGATGTCAACTTTTATAAAGGTGCAAAATAATCCAATTGCAGAGAATTCCAACAAGAACCCTTCACTACCAAGCCCTTCACTACCAAATCCTCCTAAAAGGAGAAGAGAGGATATAGCAGTTATTCTGGGCTCAACTCTTGGAGCTATCTTTGGTGTGTTTCTTCTATGCATTTTCCTTTTTCTACGATTTAAAAAAGGGTTCAAAGAGGTTGAGGAGGATTATCTAGACAACATATCGGGAATGCCAACTAGATTCTCTTATGAAGAGTTAAAGAACGTCACAAAGAATTTTAGCAACAAGCTTGGCGAAGGAGGATTTGGATCAGTTTTTCAAGGAACATTACCTGCGGGTTCTGAAGTTGCAGTGAAACATCTTGATGGCTTGGGTCCAGTTAAGAAGTCCTTCATAGCGGAAGTTCAGACTATAGGAAGCATTCACCATTTCAATTTGGTAAGTTTGGTTGGATTTTGTGCTGAAAAATTTAGTAGGCTTTTAGTTTACGAGTACATGCCTAATGGGTCCCTGGATCGATGGATCTTCAACAAAAACCAAGAGCTTGCTCTAGGTTGGCAAATTAGGAAGAAAATCATTTTAGATATAGCCAAGGGACTAGCCTACCTTCACGAAGAATGCAACCAAAAGATAATTCACTTAGACATCAAACCCCAAAATATCCTTTTAGATGAGAATTTCAATGCTAAAGTTTCAGATTTTGGGTTATCTAAGCTAATTGGAAGAGACCAAAGCCAAGTGATAACAACTATGAGGGGAACGCCTGGTTATATGGCCCCTGAATGGTTAAGCTCAGTCATTACTGAGAAGGCAGATGTCTATAGCTTTGGTGTTGTGGTCCTAGAAACTTTGTGCGGGCGAAAAAATGTGGATGGATCTCAAAAGGAGGAAGATAGGCATTTACTGGGTGTTTTTAGGAGAAAGCTAGAAGAAGGGCAACTTCTGGATCTAGTTGATAACTGCAGCGATGATATGCAGTCAAATGCAACCGCTGTTGTGGAGATGATGAAGGTTGCGGCATGGTGTTTACAAACTGAATATTCCAGGAGGCCTTCCATGTCCACTGTGGTGAAGATTTTTGAGGGTTTGGTTGATGTTGCGGGTAACTTGAACGACAATTTTCTAAATGAATTAACATCGGAAGCTGTGGGGACTTTTGCTTCAACAATTTCACCATCTACGCTATCTGGGCCGAGGTGACGGTCATGGATTCATAAAGATGGGATGTAAGGTACGTTGCCAAGCTCAGCAGTGATAGTTCAATTCAATTCTGTGTTGGCTGCCACTGTATTTGGATATGGTTGCCCCTTTTAGTTTTGCCCCTTGTATTACTTTTAGAATTCCCCTACCCGGTAAGTAGCAAAATTTATGTTCGAAGCTTTGTTTTGTTTCATGTTGGATGTATCCTTGTTTTCATCCCAACTTTTAGGCCCCAAGAAAAGGTTGTCTAGTTTGCATGATATCCGGTAAGACCCAGACAATGGTAGAATAGAAGTAATTTTTTTTTAGGCAATTATTAATTTAAGTCAATGTAAATCCTTTCAAGTGTTAAAATGACCTATTTACTGCATACAACTAACCAAAGAATAGAATGCAAAAAAGTATTTCAATTAACTTTGTAATTCAAAGTCTAATAAAAGAAAGACAAGTCGTGCCATCTTTTTTGACAAATAAAAAAGAAATTCAAAATTGGACACTATTAAATCGGGCAAAGGAAATATAATTCTAAACTATCATTTAATATTAATTTTGGTTGATTGAATTATAATTATAGTTATTAAAAAATAAAATTTATCTCACAGAAAAAAATTGATAATTGCATTGAGGATTTTATTTTTTTTTCCCACGTGATCAGTTTTAAGCAAATGTAAATTGATTGAAAAAGAAAAAAAAATTAGTAGACTCAACAGATCCTTACTATGATTCAATGTTAACTTTAGTCTCTCCCTCTCAAAATGATCTTTTTTACAAGAGGGAGCACTTTGATTAATATTTAAAAAAAATTTATTAAAATTTATCCAATTTTACCATTTGAACTTAATTTAAATGACTCTTACGAACAGTGCTGAATAGCCCGTTTGATTTGATAATACTTAGTAGCTTAGTTTTTGAATTGTTTGGGGCCTAGCACGTGACCAAGCATTTACAAATTTAAAATAACAAAATTAACTAACCTAAAGAGAACATTTTTACACTTGTATCTAGAATGGTTAGATTTATTTATGTTTTGTACCAAGATTAATGATTAGTTACATATATAAACCTAACTTACAATGATGAAGAGTAACATGTATTTTCGCACATTTCAGTTTCTCGATTTTGCTAATTCTCAAATTTACTACAATGGAGAAATAATTTTTGGCTTTTTTTTCTTGCTCTAGGGAAAATCAAATATTCGAGTCCAAAAAAGAAATAAAAAATATGGAAGCACATAATAACAAAGCATGCCATGCCTATATATTCTGTTGTTACACGTTATGGTTACTAGGCTTTTGTTACACGCCATTCTTTAGTAAGCAATTGTTGCCACATGCCATGCATATATAATAAGTCTTTACTCGGCATGCCCACTAAGCACCATTTGTTAGATGTCAAGCTCTATGGAATGTGTCGTTAGATGCAACGGGCTAATTTGACATATTATTACACATCATGCCTTAGTAGGCAATCGTTGCCATTTGACATGCATATGTATTGTGTTGTTATACGCCATGCTTATATATTGTATTATTACATGCCATGCCTATGTATACATTGTAATAACATGTCATGCGTAACTATACCCTGTTATCATACGAAAAATTATATTGGTCATGTTGTTCTTATGAAAAATTATATTTTGGAATTAATTATTAAACTTTAAAAGACGTTAAACTAAACGGAAATCAAAGACACCACTTCAACATTACAATAAATCAAGTGTAAACCCTAAATAGAAATTTAAATAGTTAACAATATAAGCTCTATTTGAACACTGCTAGCAAAAATCCATAATGTGTATTGCATCCTGAACCATGTGTCTGACTTCATTATAGATGTGTGTTTGGACAATTCAACGCTTCAACACTTCACTGTTGAAGTCTTCGTCTTCTTCATACAATAGACTTTACAACACTTGAATTCTTCTGCAACTAGCATGTGGTATGTTGACATATAATGAAATAGTTGGGTCAATGTCCTATACTCCAATTCTTACTAAATCACTTAGGCTTTACTTGCACCTCGATCTACACATTCATGGATGAGCATCACTTACACCAATGCCATACGTAAAGATTGCAATGTCATTTAATTGCCTCCCATGTGGGCAACATGTACCCACAAATGTGTAAGTGGCAGTGCAAGCAAAAGCCAAGGCTGTTCCACACAAAAGTTTTTAGAAGAATTGGATTCCAAGGCAAAGGCGAGCTAAACTACCATTTGAAACACAACTAATTAGTTATAGGTCGAGTAGGTTCCTTGATTTCCTCCTAGATTTCTTCCTTAAATCGCTTTAATGCCATCAGAAGTTTGTGAAGCTTTTTAAGTTTTGAATTAAATCATGGTGGGGTTTAGAAATGTTGGGGTTAGAGTTAGGGTGTTATGTGAATTTGAATTGTTAGGGTTAGGGTTAGAGTTAGAGTCATTACATACATATGGTGTTTATGGTTTTCAGACTTTCACATTAATGTAGCTGTTCCATTTAATGTGGACTTCATGGAAATGTTGTACACATCGTGTAACAATTGTAGACTTAAGGCATGGCGTGTAACAATTGTTTGTATAGGCATGGCATGTTTTGTTATGCGGGCACCTTCAGTGGATTTGTTACACACGAAAGAATAAATTGGAATGTAAACATATTTTTACATGCCATGCCAATTTCAGTCAATTTGTTACACGCTAAAGAATAAAGTGAAATGTAAATCATTTTTTCATCTTTCACTTACACCTCATGTTCTATAATTTTGCTACACGCAATGTTATAAATAAAACCTCAAAGGGGATAAAGCTCAAGCTCATAAATTGATAGTCACCCATGGTGGAAACTCAATTCAACGCTTGGTATAATGCCAAGTCTTGAGTTTAATGAGACAAAATACATCATCTGCAAGTGGCAATTAGCACTATAACATTTTCAAATAAAATATCTGTTGGAAAAATCATATTTGAAAAATCATGTTAGTTGGAAAATAATAATAAAAGAAAAGTAATGTTTGTGGAAAAAACCAACCGACATGATTGTTTGAAATAGACATAAATTGTGTCCATTAGGAATAGGCACCTAAGCCTATAAAAAAATTCACCTTTAAAACAATAGAACGTACAAAAAACAACAAAACAACAAATTTCCCATTCTTTCTCTGCATTCTTCAAGTTTTCTTTTATATCATTTTGCTATAGAAAAATCTTATAGAAGTTTGATAATTTTGTCATACTCTGGTGAGTGCTCAGTAGATTGATTTCGTTATAGCAAAACACTATCAATCACTAGGCTTCATTGTATCTTCGAGGTTTATATGTCGGTAACTTTTTTGCATACTACAAGTGGGGGCGAATAAAACCTTAAAGATATTGGCATTGATACACGCCTTAAAGCCAAAATTTCTTGATTTTCCAATTCCATGTTCAAGCAACAGATTCAGTAGAATTCTTTTCCTTTTGTGGTCTTTTTCATGGAAATTTTGATTATCTTTTGTTCTTTGTCTCCTGCTTTCTTAAAAAAGATTTTTGTATGGTGACATAAATCGTTGAATGTAGTTTTTACAACTCTAGTTTCCTAGCTCATAGGCCTTTCCACAGGACCATTAGCAAGAATTATACTCTTTTATTTTTTATATTAGTATTTTTTTTAATTGGGGGAGAGGGGATTTGAAACATTTTCTTTAGGCAAAGGGATAATACACCAACTAATGAGCCAAATACTTGGGTGTACTTTTTCATTTTTGATATGTTTTAAAATAAATTTTTTAAACACTTAATTCGTTTATTTTTTTATATTATTAATTGTTATAAAATATAACTTGAAAACACAAGTATGAGTGAAATTATTTAGAGCTAAGAAAAAGATCTTATTCAAGTATGTATTTGCAAATGAAGTGAAGAGCCTATTTATAGGCAAATAACCCTTGAAATCCTAATGTTAATCTAATTTAATCTATATCCAAGTCTAGATATACATAATCAAAGCCAAGAGCTCAAATCAAATTACACTTCTTGTGTCTGGCCTGTTGTGCTATTTGATTTAGTATGCACTTCTTAAGTCTTAACATAATAGACATTCACACGTATTTATAATATTCTCTTAGAATGTCCATTGTATTAAAAACATACCTCTTTAAAACTTTACTAAAAAAAAACCTCATGAGAAAAAATTCGAGTAAAGGAAAAAGAGTGCATAATTCTTTTCAAAAATATGTTTTTGAATTACTATCTCATTAAAAACCTTATTAAAAAAAATCTAATTGGAAAAATCTTGATAAAGGAAAAGAGTACAATGCGTATTTTACTCTCTTTAATGACTGCATTATTTAAGATCTTTAAAACATCGCATTTCAGTTTTTTGCACCAACTTTTCAAACGTTACAGTAGGTAGGACTTTAGTAAATAAATTTGTTAGATTGTACTAGAACGAATTTGTTAAATACTAATATCATTTTTTTTCTTGGACATCATGAACTTGCCTCATGAATTGCTAAAATTTCTATAAGGTTAGAAGACGTAGCAAATATAGTTTGTTTTACAAAACATTATGAAATAGTCGTACCTTCATATACGAATAAGTAACTTGTCTAAAATCGAGCCTTTTGTAGATCAAATAAATATTTTGCATCCACATAACAAATTAAATTTGATTTTGATGCGTTTGAGTATTATAAACACATGTCCATTGTTCTTCGAAAATATTGAAGTATATGTTTAAATCCATTCCAATGTCTTCGAGTTGAAAAAGAACTATCGCTTGCTAATAAATTTACAGGAAATGATATATCTAGTTATGTTTTACTAGCAAGATAATTAGTGCTCCAATTGCACTAAGATATGGTACTTCAGGAATAAGAAGTTCTTCATCATCCTCATAAAGTCAAAAAGGATTCTTTTTCACATCTAGTGACCTTACAACTATTGGTGAATTCAACAGATATGCTTTGTCCATATAGAATCGTTTTAGTATTTGTTATATAATTTGATTGATGAAAAAAAAATTTATTTGTCAAATGCTTAATCTGAAGACCTAAACAAAACTTTGTTTTTCAAAGTCTTTCATCTTAAATTCTTTCATTTAAGTAATCCATAGCTTTTGATAACTTTTTAGAAGTCTCAATAATGTTTAGGTTATCAACATAGATAGAAATTATGACAAATTCAAACCCAAATTTTTTTAGAAAACACATAAGCATATAGGATCATTTTTATAGCCTTTTTTTAACAATATTCATTAAGGCAATTATACCACATATGTTCATATTGCTTTAATCCATATACATATTTATTTAATTTAATCAAATAAATTTATCAAAAATTCAAATTTTGTGCTTTAGGCAACTTAAATCCTCCTTGGATTTTTCTATAAATATTAATATTAAGTGAGCCATATAAATAGGCAGTAGCTACATTCATTATATGCGTTGCAATCTTCTCATATATTGGTAGACTAGTTAATATAGAATTGTAATTGCATCCACCATAAGAG